AAACAAGTACCGCCCATGAGTGTTGCGGGAGAGCCATGGCCTTGGAGTTGACGCAGAGGTAGCCCCGGTTAAAGTGGAAATGCCAAGCACGCCAACGGCGATTTCTGTTCATAAACGAAAGAACGCCCGTCGATGGGCAGGCATTCCTGAGCTAGAAGTAACAAGGAGTACTTTCATTCCAACCCAGCCACTGCTAAGATCTGCTGAGCGTGCCAACAAACATCAGACCTTCAGCCTGTTTGGGCTCTTTGGTTGGCCAGTCGCAAGGTTGTCCTGGAGGAAGCTTGAGGATTTTGAAGGCAGTTGCCCTCTATGCCACAGGGGGCGACACGCGGCAACATGAAGCGACACATAACGACACGCGGTTGGCGGTTGACACACAGGCGACACGCGCGTGATGCGCGGCGAACCGCAGAGACTCGACACTGGTAGTACGCAGGCGACGCGTGATGACACGAGACGACTCGAAAGGCAGCTGCCGATGTGCGCTGTGCTGCGTTGCGACCCCCTTGCCCGCCTTCCTGCTTTCAGGTGCATTTGAACGTTCTCCCGCATCCCGGATTTTTCACATGTAGGCAGCCTATGGGCAGCAATTTGGAAATGCTGCCAGCTCCTGAAGTTGAGCATTGCCCTGAGGTCAGCTATGACATGCTGCTCGAACAGTTCATGCAAGGTGCGCGAAACAACGGGCGAAACGACACCACTTGTCAAGGAGTTGAGGTCTGTGAAACAACCCCCTAGCACTTGCACATTTGGCTGTGGTTGCCAAAAATCGGGTACCCCCAAAATAATTTGCCCTGGCAAATGACAACGTTGACAAAGTCCCTGCGGTCCAATTCCTGGTGGTTCAGTTTTGACCCACACCCATTTGCGATAGCTCACGAGAGCTCCAACCCTACTGCAGGGCAGCCTTTGCCATCCCTTGTAGTTGGGAACCTTCCATGCAAGGGGGTGCTCTAAGTCACAAAAAGGCAAAAGGACAGGACCGGTTTTTCGCTGCACCTATTTGTAGCAAGGGATGGTACCCATGCTCGGGATTTGATTGTGACCTTTTTCCCTCAAAACAAGACTCATTTGAACTTGTTTGAGCTTGTGTGCCTTGGACTGTCCCATGCATTTTTTGTTGTATGTGCCAAACTAGGCAGTGGGGCCCCCCCCCAAAAAAGGCTTCCCCGCAAAAAAAAACACCCCCCAGCTGACCCATGTCTTTTTGTGGGTCCCCTGTAAACCGAGCGAGCCCCAAAAAGGGTTGGGGCACCCCGCAACAAACCGCCGAGCCATGTCTTGCCGTGCGATTTTGGGCTTCAGGGCATCAGCCGTCGCGTTCCAAAGCCCAGCCGCGTGCTGAGCGGCCGATGCTTTGGCGCCGAAGGGGTTTGTCCCAAAAATGTGGTGCCCAAAATGGTGGTGCCCAAAATTGTGGTGCCCAAAATCGTGGTGCCCTCAACATGATGGAGAATCAGGTTGTAGGTTGTCGTTTTGTCGGGCCCAAGGGAACCAATGTGAAGCTGGGGGATGGGGATCCATGTGTTTTTTTTGTTTTTTCAGGGCGTTTTTTTTTTTTCTCACCGATGCCGTTGTTTCCCTAGCCCCGTATCGAAAGGATTCGATTGAGTGTGATTGGTGGAGGGGAACAGTTCCGAAGATGTGCAAGAGCAAGGATCTGCAGGGCTCGGCAGTTTTTGAGCTGATGCTGCCAGTTGTTTGCAACCATCTTTTCATGTTGGTGAGCGAGAGAGAGACAGAGAGAGAGAGAGAGAGAGGGAGACAGAGAGAGAGAGAGAGGGAGAGGCACAGAGTACTTAATCACTGCACCATGGCACACACACTGCTCGCCGTATTGACTGCGCGTCTCTTTGGGCCCCCAAGTTGTTTGGTTGTTTCAACGAGAAGCAACAGAGAAGCCAAAGCCGAAATCGAGAAGCCATGTGTGTTTGTGTTTTTTTTGGGGGGGAGGCCCCTTTTGCTAATGCAAAATGGTCTTCCTAGACAAACCAATATGGGCCAAGGTACAAATCGGCGGTGTGGTACCACAACGAGGAGCAGAAGAAAGTGCTCGAGAATGCGCTTCAGGACTGGATTGACAAGGGGTCAAAATTAAACCACCAAGGGACCGCAGGTTTTGGTCCATGTTTCCACTTACTAGGGTGCCATTTGGGGTACCTATTCTTGACCCACAGCCACAAAGGAAAGGGAACTTCACTGTTGGCAGGTGCTTACTTCAAGGGTTGGAAAGGGAACAGGTGCATTTCTTCGGATTGCATCAGTGCAAATGGGGCAAAAAGGCCTTTGCTCGGGAGTATGTTCATTCTTGGATTACGTGGCATCATGTTTTGTTTCTTCTAGCAGCTGGTCGGACAAGTCTTGCTTGCGGCCTGACGGTATGAAGAGCTTCGAATATGCTCACCAGCTTAGCATCACAGGAATGTTCCAGACCTACTCAAACTTATCAGCACGAGACCGGGTTCATGCCTTGGTAGGCTGACACCATTGCCCATTGCCGCTTGGGACTTTCGGCTTCACTTCATTGCCATGCTGCCAGACCAGTCTTTAGCATCACAGCCTCTCCCCTTCCCTTTTGGAAGAGAAGCCCATTGCACACGTATGCTCCAGGTAGGAAGAGTGTGTGCCAACAATTATTACTGAGGCAGCATGATGCTGGACTGTGGCTTTGCACCCAGACCAGCAACAAACTTAGTCTAGTCTTAAACACGACGACATGCACCGGTGTAGAGCGCGTTTGACACCGCGAGGCATATCTCTCGCGGCAAGCCACGTGCATGCTTGTCAATGCTTGTTGTTGCTTGCACCCCCAAAATGGGAGCTTCCCAAATGGAAGGGATTCCTTGACCAGGGCTGGGCAAATCCTTGTTGATAGAATTATAGCTGGTCACCTTTCAAAACGGAGCCAAAAGGAGCATGCTGGATACTGTGGGTGTTTAACATGTTGAAACATGGGGTTGGCCCAATCCTTGACATGTTTCCGCTCACCGATGCGGGAAAGCTTTGCATCGGAGGACAGGGGCGTGGATCACGTGGTAGACGTGGAGAAGGCGAGAGATATTTGGGGGATTTGGCTTTGTTTGAGGGTGGCCTTTCGGAGGTTGGCTGAAAGGTCCATGGTCCATGGTGTTGTTTGATTTAGGTTGTTGGGACCTCAAACTTGGCGGGGTGCTTTTGCAGGGGAAAACAAGAACCGCCATGTTTGAGGTCCACCATTTCGAGACAAGTCCATTCGAGGTGAATGTTGGCCCGGGATTGATCAGGGGACCCGGCCCAAACGGGTTCTACGCAATGGGCTCCGATCGCCTGCACCAAAGGATAATTTGTCAGAACCCATTTGGGGTCAACCGAACTGACCTGAAAAAGCTCTGGTGGATAAATAGGTCGAGATGTCGGGTTTTGCGACATGGAAGATAATTTATTGTGGCAACAGGTGGACATCACACACACACACACACACACATGGGTTGGATTTGTGCAATCACCCATTTGGGAGGTTCCAACTCAAGAAACGTAGCCAAATGGACAGATCCCAAGATCCACAAATGGCAATAATTGCATTTCCCTCTTCAAAACGGTTAGATGCCCCTTTGTGACAGAAGGAGAATGTCAAGCCCGGATTCATCAACCAGATTAATAGGCCCACTCTCAGATGGGAGGGCTATGCTCTCAGATGGCATGTGTGCAAAGCCCTTCCCAAAATAATTGGTTTGCCTTTCGGCTTCCCAACCAAACCGGGGGTACCCTCAACAAACATACACCCATGCATGGGGGAGGCATCCCCGAGAAAGGTTGGTTTCCTTTTTTTGGTTTCCTACAAGGCAAATTCAATAAGGGGTTCTCCACCATTTTTAGAAGATTGGCGGCAGGGGTGCATTGCTCAGGTAGAGATGGCATGGCTCCAATGGATCGCTGGGAGAGAACCATAGCTACCAGCTTGGGTATCTAGTGCAAGCCTATACTCTTTAGCCCCGTGGTACCAGTAATTCGCTAAACCACTTTGAAAAGAAGCACCCCTAACTGGTCAAAGGTTTGCCCGGCGTTCGATTCGCGGCCAATCTTGGAGGCAAAGTCCTGGCATGATGCCGAGGACGATTTCCGAATCCGATTCGAGAGCACATTTGGCCATGTGGGTGGTTTGCTTTCTGTTGTTTTTGGTCGGTACCATGTCGGTACCATGTCGGTACCCTTTTCGGTTGTTTTTGAGGGTGCCCCTTTTGGGTGGTTTTTGGAGGGTGCTTGGTTTTGTTATGCTTTTTGGGTGGGTGGGTGGGTGGGTGGGTGGGTGAGTCGTTTTTGTGGTGTTTGTTGAAGTCCAAAATCGATCGTTCTTAGACGCTTGTGACACCCCAAAATACGTGCCGTCCCTGGTAAACCCCAAATCAGGAAACTCTTAGTTTGTGGTTTGGATTGGTTGTTTGGGGATTTGACACCAAACCAATCCAAACCACCAATCAGAGGGAAGCTGACCAAAAGGCTTTGGCACCTTCAACCGACATACCATGCATCGTTGTTGTTTTTGAGATGGGACGGTTCCCGACTCGCAACACTTTGGCTTGGCGTTGCGAAAACAAAGAGGGCACAATTCACGTGTGTTTCCGCTTAAAACCAACCAAACGGGTTTGCCATGTCGAACCTCTTTTGAGGTTCCCTTTTAAAGTTGGCCACATGAGAATCAAAGGATAGCAGGCAAGCTCAGTTTTAAGCTCCAACGCAGACCTCGTCTCTAGGCAGCGTTCGTTGCAGGACTACCATCAGAAGTACTACACGAAGGCAAATTGTGTCGTCCAGTAGGTAGGTGCATCTTCCGTTTCATTAACTGGGTTGTTCAAAGTTATAATCCTTATTCCAGTTCGTAGTGGTTCCCCTTGTTCTCTTATTCCACTACAGATTACGGATTAGGCACCCACCCATATTTTGAAGAACCCAGGTGAAGTGTTTATATAATGCTCGGCTCTCGAAGTCTTCACCACCCTCAATTCAGATGTCTTGTTTCGTGTGCTTTGGGAGTTGGCAGTGCCAGGCTGTACATAGAGGCTTGCATGCCTGTGGCCCCTTTGCTGCGAATGACGTGTGCCGGAGTGAAGTCCCCACTCTGACCACACGGACAGCGCATAGGACCACACATGCAGCATCCTGTGTGGCAACTGCCTTGGAGCTGCGGTGGCAATCAATTTTCCGCAAGACCGGGCAGAGCTCGCTTTTGCGCGACTCGCTTCTGGGATGCAGACATCAAGCCAGAAGACCCGCCATGTGTTGGCAAAAGCGCAAGTGCCATGTAGCAGGGGTGATTCGGGTAGGGCTGAGCATTCCGCAAGCGACACATACTCAGAAACCTGCAACGGGTTGCCGCAGCCATTTGACGTTAATGTGATGTGCGTTTGCGTTCACCAAGTGTTGATTGCCACCTTGCAATTCATCGAGTTTGTTTCGCTTGATGAGAGCATGAGTCAAGCTGCTAATGAGAATTGAGAGACAATTGTGGAAGCAATTCATGAACTGGCCATGCGCGCCGCATTCTTTTTATTTCCTTTTGCGGCAGCCCCGGGATGAACAGAGCATGCTCACCTTGAAAGCCTGTCGTGTGGTGTGTGACTGTGTGTGACTGTGTGTGTGTGACTTGAGGTAGTGCATGGCGATGTGACAGCACCTCAAGAACCTGTTGATCCTCGACAAGAAATTCTTGACTGCAAATGGCCTCCCTGTCATGATTGCTGGCGAGCAGACAAAAAGGCTCACCGAGTACAAAGGGAGACGAACATTTGCAGAGTTCCAATAAGTCGCGGCACAAAAGACCGTGGCTGTGAGAAGTCTGAATCTGGCAGGCCGAGTTGCATGCCCCACTGCATTCCTTGCGAAAACCGACAGGCGGGCGCGAAAAGCCATGAAAAGCCGACATGCTGTTGCCGACCTCCCTGAGATTGTTTGAATTCATTCAAAGCCATCGGAAACAGCCGCCTTAGTTGGACAAACAGGCCCAAGGGCCCGAAGCCCGAGCATTGGAATCACGTGGGTGTGTTTCAAAGTAGCCTCAAAAATGACACGGCCGCCAAATCGCCACGGTGCTGGTTCCTCTAGGAGTCCAGCAATTGACGTTCCTTCCAGTTGCTTCGCTTGAGCCAATCCAATCACCAGCCATGGCTTGGCAGATGGCTCGCGCCTTCCAGCCGTTTGCACCAGAGTTGCCGATGCCGGATGAGGCGAATCGTCATGGGATCTCGCTCGCTCACCTTCTGCCACGAAGTGTCCAGTCTTGCCTTCCGCCCCAGGCTGCACTGAAACGGATATGCGATCCTGGAGGTTTGCACCTCGGATCCCTGTGCATTCCACGGCCGATCGTTGCGTCTCCAGTTGCCTTTGAGCACGTTCCGATGTCGACCCATCCCAGTGGCGAGCGTTGCCGTGCAGTGACTCAGCGATGCTCAGCGCTAGAGCCGCCGGCAACTCGATCATTTTTTGTCTACCACTTGCACACGTTGTCGTATGTCTTCGTGATGCCGACATCTTTGCCCTCGCGGCGTTGCGTGCTTGACCCTCGAGCCGACGGTCAAAGCCGTGGGCACTCCTCAAAAAATCGGACTCGCATCAGCCCCTCGCCGATCGACGGTCGCATTCACTGCCTTCCGGAACGCAGCGTTCCGAACAGCAGGTTGAGAGAGTCTCCCCTTGTGCGCTGTCTTGCCGCCCCAGGCCATAGGCAGACTGGCTGTAGCTGGGGCTGCATTCCGCAAGCGATGCGTGAGCAGTGCGATGTCCTGGCCATCGCTCTCAGTCGCCGGCCGGGCACGAGTTTTAACTAAAACGTGGGCGTTGGAACTGCGCATTTGGCACGGCAAGAATAGACAATCGCAGCGGCAGAATGTATTATGTTGGAATATTCAGCCGCGGCTGTCCCCAGTACAACCTCTTTGCGATCACTCTGTCAGCAAGCTGCATGCGTAACGGTCAGAAGCTGGCTGCGGCAGAGTCTGCGCAGGGCACATGTTCATCAGAAGTCCGGTTTTGCTGCCGGCGCAACCCTTGACGCTTTTCCGATGACACCACTTGGCCCTAAAACTGGCTCTTATAGACAAAGCAAGGATTAGTAAACCTTTGGTTGTTCTATGAAGCGGTGGGGTGCCCAATTTTCGAGGAGACCATTCAGTTGCGGCCGCTCACAATTTGCAAATCTGCGCATCAATCGTCATCGGGTATAGGAGAGGCGAGGGGGCTATTCTCAAAACAACCAGCCGTTTGACTTCCTAAAATTCACCAGCCAATCTGACTCACACGAATATCAGTGATAATGGTGACAGAAGCTCCGAAACAGATTGGTACTTGTATGAAACTGGGCCTCGTGTTTGGCAATCCCGGTTAAAGAGCGGGGTGTAGCTCACATTGCTGTTTTTTTGCATAGGCATCCGGCTTGGCCCATTGGTTTGTTTGACCGCAAAAGCAAACTGAGGCATATCATACGGAGTTTTCTCTCTCCAAGTGCAACAGAGTAACATAAAGATGGGTCGTGTGAGAGACGGATACGGAAGCTTGAGAAGGACAAAGTTTTGTTCTTTGTCAGCCGAGTTCTTTCCAGTTGCCAATCTGTCATACCATTTGGGGTCTTGCCCCCGCATTGCGCTTGCGTTTGAGAAGGCTTCTATATGAAGACAAACCCGCTTGCTCAGCAATGGCAAGACGCAAACCACCAGCAAGGCCAGCGTGCCGCTTTGAACACAGCCCATATTGGACTGGAATGCCAGTGCTTCTTTGTACCTGGAGTCTCCATGACCCTCAAAAAATGGGGTCATTACTGAGTCATTACCCAAACCCCCCCTTTTTTCCAGGGTCATGGAGACTCCAGGTAGCATGAGCCCCCCTTTCAGCGAGCGCCGCTGCGCGCAACTCCTGAGTTCCTGGCCGGCGTGGCAGCTGAACACACTCTCCTCCCACTGGAAGTTACGAAAGTGCCCCCAGTGCTGTTTGACTGCTGCACGGCTATGTCCAGAAACTAGAAATCTGCTAAACTGTCAGCCTTATTTTAAAGGTGCATTTGTTTGATATGTTTTGCAAATTTGTGTTGCTTGCATCTCTCGGCGCTTTTTTGCCAAGTGTCGGCGCTTTCTTGCTGCAGCATGTTTTTTGGAACATGTGATGGAAGGCGGTGGAATTTTAAAAATAGGCACCATTTGTCTGGAAAGAACATCGGCCCAATTTCAGTTTCATGGTTGGACGCGTCGGCAATTTTTGTGTGATCCGGCGTTTTTGCTTGCGCGTTGATGTTTTTTTCCAGACTCAGACTTCGGCGGAAATGTCCGCCAAGGCCGCCAGAAGTTCTAGGTGTCGCAGTCTTTGGATTGGACGTCGCCGCTGATTTGCGCGCAGCTCGTTGCCAAGAATGGCCAGCAACGGCAAAGCTTGCGTCGCTTGGCTTGGCCTCGAAATTTGAATTCGCACTTGAATCAATCCGCTAGGCGCGTGCACGCAGACCGCGTTGACGCCCTAACGACCGAGGCCGCAAACCACAACTAAGGGTCCAAGTACCTTGCACCGATTCACCTTGACCCACTGTTTGCCTTTTGTTCAAATCCTCGGAAGGTGCTTGAACCATTTGCGTCGATTTGAACAGGTTTGAGCCGGCAGCCTGTTCCGCGACATTGACATTCATAGCTTTGCCACGAAATCAAAGCGCACGGCTGACCCACAGCCCAACGGCGGCGCTCACTGCGGCCCCAAACAGCAACTGGCCGTCACCGCTCATGTCCAGGGGCGAAGTCAGGAAGAATATAAGGTAGGTTTTGCCCAAGGCATGAGCGTGCGCAACTCAAGAGGAATAATTCCGGAAGTACTTGGAATTTGCAGGTCTGAGGGAGGCCCTTTGGGCCAGAGATTACTTCAAGAACTTGCCGGCTCCATTGCTGGAGGTCGTGCCAGGGTGCCCAAAGCCGGCCAAACCCTGGCGGCGCGCAGGAACCGCTTCCAGCAGCTTTGCCGCAGAGGTCGTCGGAGTTGCAGAGATGCAGCCCAACCGCTTGTGGCTGGCGTTTGCTCCAAGACTTTGAGAGCAATGCCGCGTCCAGCGGTCAAGCCAAAGGGGGTTGAGCTTCAGGAGTCACAACCACTGTCTTGTCAGCGTTCAATTTCCGACCGACACGTGCAAAACATTGAGCGAATCATCCAAACGGGCCGCTGCTTCCGAAGAGTTGCCGCAACCGGTAGCAGTAACGATTTCCGCTGGCCGGCTGCTGGCTACCCACTGCAACGCACGCAAAAAACAAAAACGTGCGCTCAAGACGCATCCTTGCCTCACGCCAGCCCTTATTTCAAACGCACGGCTCCTGCTCCAGTCGCCCAGTTCAACAATTTGACCAGCATAAAATTGCCTGCAAACCCATGGCCTGCAAGAGCTTGCCAAAGTGAAGGCCACGACACCCGATCAAGAGCTAATTTGATAAAGCTAAGCTCACAACCCAAAGAGGGATGTCATATGCGGTGGCCTTGTCCATGAGCAAGTTTGCCGCCAACAGGCGTTCTTAAGAAGCCGTACTTCTGTCTGAAACCATGTTGCTCCTCAGGCTGCATGGCGTCCAAGGTGGTTTCAATCTGGCCCAAGATCATGTACGCGGAAGTCTTACACAACAGCCGCACAGTAGCAATCGGTCGGACATACGACAAATAGGATGTTTTTGTTTGGTTGTTCTTTGCCACAAACGACTGGTGTCTTAGACCATTCGGCTGGCACCTTCCTGACCCCGACATGTCGCTGAACAGCGTACAAACAATTGCAGCAATTCCACCGGAACATGGTTCAACAGTTCGGCGGCAAGTCCATCTTCATCACATCCGCATTTGCCTTTGGGCTTCCGCGCTGCAAGTTGCATTTCCAAGGTTCAAGTTCAGGGTTGTTCGGCCAAATGTCTGGCTTTTGTGTTTCATCGATTATTTGTTTAATCAACTTCTCAAATACACGGCGAACTCCCCAACCAATGGTTGGGTCGCGACAAGTATCGAACAATTGGCCATAGCGTGGAATCTGTGACTTCAGCTGTTCCATCTCCGTGTGTCCAGCTGATGATCTCTATTGACTTTGGATTGCATGCCAGTTGGAAGGCCCCCTGGGGCACAGGCGCAATGTGTGAAACCAAAAGCAACCGATATGTTCTCCAAAGTCTTCAATTCACATACTTGCATGTGTGAAAGTTTACTACTGACGGGGGACTGAGAATCTGTGGGCTCCCCTTCGTGATCAAGTTTGTGGCTTCCATCCCTCCAACCAAAAATTAGGGTGCAAAAGCTTCTCGTGGCAACGAGTAAGAGCAGAATGCAATGCGCACACCTATGGTCCAAACCAATGGGCATTGCATAGTCACATCATGAAGGAGAACCAGGAGAATCGCCCCGCACTCAGGCCGAACCCGAGCTTGCGGAACGCGACCCTGCAGGCAGTGCCGACCGGGCCAGTTGCCTGGTGCACATGGGCGAACTGGTTGCTGCTCGTCAAGCCTTGAGGGCAGCTCTCCTGGCGCCTACGCCAGCCTGGCCGAGCTCCGGGACACAGCCGGCCACCCTTTGCCGGGACATCCTTCTAGCCAACTTGCGCTGTGCCGAAAAAGGCGCTGCTCTGGGACCCTCCGGCCTCACCGCGGAATCAGCACACTGAGCTCGACCCAGGCCGGTTTTGGCAGCTCGCCAGGTGGTTCGCCCGGGCGGCACCCACCTTTCTTGAAGCGTGGCAGCCAGATCGCCCGAGGCTGCTGTGTTTTCTGTGGATGGGGCTGGTGCCTTTGACCCCGTGTCGCGGCGAGCCATGTTTGAGGCCAATCGCTGTCTCCCGTTGGTGCGTTTGTTTTTCCGTCCACTGGCCGGGTCCCAACTTGAACTTGTCGGTTGGTGGC